TTCTTTCTGATGAACTACTACCACAAGATATACATGTGTTTATTTGTCAATACATTCTGCTAAAATATAGATGTTAATTTTGCTAAAGGATATATTATTTTTTATTATGTCGGCATATTCCCATGTCTCACTGGCTGTAGTTCAAGTCAGCTCAAACAGACAAACACAAAGCCCTTTTGATTCCCTCCCTTACAATAAGAGACTCAAAAGTGCTTTGTGTTTGTCTTTGGATCAGCTTTTGTGCACATTGTGGAGACCGAAATTTGCCAAGTCATTCAGTGGCTGTATAAAACCTATTGAAGTATAGTTTAGAGTCTATTACATAAAGCCTACTAATTTTGATAATAATTTCTAAGTTGGAGACTCTAACCCTAATTAATTATTGTTGTACAGAGCAGAGGTTCTCAGCTCTGGCCCTTGAGATCTATTTTCTTACAGAGATTAGCTCCAACCTTGATCAAACTCACCTGCCTGTAACTTTCTAGTAATCCTGAACCTGATTAGCTTGTTAATGTGTGTTTGATTAGGATTGGAACTAAACTCTGCAAGAAAAGTGGACCTCGAGGGCCAGAGTTGAGAACCCCCGGCACAGAGTATACTGACAACTTATTAGATAATGTTTTTTATATATTAAAGATGCTGTCAGAGAAAACCCCTTGAATGTGATTTGGTGATTGTAAAGAGGAAGAACAATGTTGGGGATTTGATTTGATTTGATTTGATGTGATGTATGCAATAAAAAAAAAAAAAAATCTGTGGTATGGAAATTGACTTAGATATCCGATTGGACTAGTGCCAAGGTTGCCGATCAGCTGGGGTTGGGCTTTGCCCCTTTTTTAGGTTCAGGTGGAATGCAAATGGTAGAGCATCTGAGCTGAAAAGTCAAATGTGGAATTAGGGAATCAAGAACCTCTGTGAACTTCTGATTTTGTTGTGTCAGAGAGAAATTGTGATGAGAGGTTTTAGAAAATTACATGAAAGAGACAAGCCTTTGGCCAACTGTGGTGGAGATACATTGCTCCTCCTTGGATGATCACGCAGTGAATGTGTAATTTAAAGGGGACATACACAGTTTCTGCCAATCTCATATTAATTTTGAGTACCTAGAGTAGTATTGCATCCTTCATATCTCCGAAGAGTCTTTAGTTTTATCAGATTTATAAAAGATAGATAAAGCTTTACGCTTCTCTCCAAAAACAGTCAAGCTCCTTGAGGCGTGCCGTGGGCGGAGCTAAAGAGTAACGAGCACGCGAAGCTATTAGGTGTGTTCAACTTGAAGCGGCGCTGCACAGATCGATCAGTGTATGACATCAAAGGACCGTGAGAGCTATAGAGAGCAGATGGCTCTGCATGCTTTTGAATCGCACTCGCGATACTTTGATGTCAAACACCAGTCTATCTGAGCAGTGCCGCTTCAAGTCGAACACACCTTTTGCATAGTGATCATCTGTAAGCTGTGACGACATAAATAAAACAGGAACAAAAACTTTATTGACTTAAATTTATTTAATTTGTTTATAAAACATACGTGATCAAAATGCCGGGAACAAACAAACACTTGCACAACTCCATTGCTGCCCCGGAGAAACAAACTGTATCCACTGATCCCTTAACGCTGGGTTCTTTGGGAAGCTGGACAAGGTTATCTTCCTCTCACAAACAAAAACACACTTCTTTGGTGACATTTTTGATTTTGTGGTCTAAAAACAAAACGACAAATCCTTCTCAAGCAAGTCCTGTGCAGCACTGCCGACGACTTCCGTAAACCGAATAAAGCACGTTGACACTGTTGCCAACTTCTATCAATGGAAAGTAGCTAAAGCCCGCTTGAAAAGTCGCTAGATGATGTCATACGCTAATTAGAATATTCACAATATCATTGCGTCGTATTGCCTTTTACAAGACCTCGCGCTCGTGTGTACCAGCAAGTCTCAGAAAGTAAATAAGGTTCGTCCAAGAAGTCACTAGATTTGTCGCTAGGCGCTTTCTTGGAAAAAAGTCGCTAAAGGGGTCTGAAATGTCACTAAATTGGCAACACTGCACGTTGATTGGCGTGCTCTTGCTTTCGCTCTGTTTGATGTGTGTGTGCTTTCTTCCGGGAGAAGTGCCCATACAAGGAATTATGATGTCATACAGGGCCATACTTGAAAAAAAAAAACTTTCTGAGACTTGTACGAAGGAGTGTATTTGGCACAGAAATACTCTGTCATACGC